GATATTTCGAATTAACACAAATTAATTTAGTTATTTATATAATATAAGCTTGTTCATAAGTAACAAATCTATATTTTTTAATTAATACATTATTATTTACTAAAGATTTACTGAAGATTTTCAGAAAAAAAATTCTTAGGTAATAATTTCAATACAATTAATGTCAATATTATCAATTTAGATGAAATAGATAATGACATCTATGTTGAAAATACGTATATTTCAAATTGAATGACAATATTTATAATAATATTAATATTTATTGCAACAACCATAATACAAATTTAACCAAATTACATAAGAAAAGTAAAAGTAAATTGAATTGTTGCAAAGGGCTACTGAATATAGGTCTTTCTGCCCTATATTTATATTATCGTTTTGTTATTACTATATACAAGTTCGGGTAATTAGTTTTTGTTTTTAAAAAAAATAAATAAATCTAGAAAATATTAACTAAATAGATCAATTAGTTGTAGAATATACAAAAGTTGAATTAAACAAAAATGTATTAGCGTTATGTCTGTTTTTAAGCAATTTATCTATCATTGTTATGACGTTTTCCTTCTGTCATCTGAAAGATGTCAATTTTAGGCTGCTTTGGAATAAAATTGCGTATTTTTGTTTGCATCTGTTATTTTAACACGAAAATTTTAACAGGAAAATGTTTTTGACGTATTTTACTTTTGTATTTTCCTAAAGTTGCTGGAGAGAAATATGTGAATATGATGTTTAAGAATAGGATTAAAAAAATCCATTCTAGTGATTATTCACTCAAAGATGACCAACGTTCTGATCAACTTACTGAAGTTTATGAAGATGACTAAATGAAAGTCACAATTGAATCGGATTGACATATAACAGTGCAAGTATTTGCAATGAGCATGTACATCGAAAGCTAAATTGATTAATAATTCCTTGAAACAAGTTAGAGCTTTTAGACATTTGTTTGTAAGTCGGGGGATACCTGTATTTAGAGCTGCATCTAATGAACAAAATGGAACGAAGCAATCAAAGAGAAATGGCCAAAAAATACAAATCCTTACATATTTGTGTAGCTAGGTTGGGGTGTCCAACTAATTATGATGACCTGAAATCGTACAAGGTTTAGTTTTTTTCTGATAAGGACCAGAAGATCTATGAGCGCAGAAAGATGGCAAAATGTCTTCGGAGAAAATGGAAAATATATAATTGATTAAAGTACACAAAGAATAATTTTATTTAATACTAAAAAAAACGAAATTTTCGTTCTTCGTAAAAACAAAGGGCGAGTTAACTAACTTTTGAAAAACGGAAATAATTAATAAGGAAAAATGATTTTCAAAAAACTAATAAAATAATGAAAGTAAATTGACAATGCCATCTGCATTATAAAAATAGAACACCTAAATTGTTTATTAATTAAAAAATGCATTTTTAAAGAATTTGTATTTTTTCCTAATTCATGGTAAAATAGTAGGACAACTAAATTATTTATTGTGAACAATTTATTGAAGATTCTGTCTTGATTTAATTTCTAAATGAAGAAGGGGTGATTCTGTTTCTGGCGAGGGTCGCGGAGAAGGCGATGCGTTACCGGAGCGAAAAAGGTTTCCATGGAAATACGAGCAGTGTTCTTCGGTTGTCCCTGCGTGAATCCAAATGACCATTAATGAATTTAAGATGGCCGCCGCGCGAGCCGTAATCGTATAGGGATCGTAAACAGGCCGAGAAATATCACTTTACACTTTATTATCGCACCCATAATCATTATTAATATTATGATTACACTTTATTAAAACGACTGCCACTATTTATGCCCATAGCGACACACCGCCAGCCTCTTCTTCCTTCTTTTTTTTTCTTCCTTTCTTATATTTCCTTCTTACTTCTCTTATTTGTCGTTTCAGTTTTGCTTTATCTGTTTGTTTCCATTTCCACGACTTCTGGTCTTGTAAGCACACTTTACCAGTGCATACCATTAAGAGAAGACAACAAACAAAAAATGTGCACAACATGCGACCGTAAACATCCGAGTTATTAACAACAACCACACGAAAATAACACAAATCGAAAACCAAATGCATTTCATTAACATTTGCTTAAACGTTTACAGATTATTACAGCCGCATTTCAAGTCGCTTCATGTTTGTGCGTTTCCAGTATTCGAAATCTTGAACATGATATCGAGATCAGCAATATTGCACTATAAAGTATATTTCTAATTAACAAAAAAATATTTAGCTTTTATAATTAATTAGATTTCATTTATCATAATAGAAGCGTTACTATTTTGATTTTAATATATGTATCATCTTGTAACAGATATGCAATGTTATTCTGAAATTAGTCATAAATGTCAAGGAAATTCAAAATAAACTTTTTTTTTAATTACACTTATCAAAACAGACTTACTTGACAAATGTAATATTATTTAAATATTATTATAAAAAAGTAGACAATTTATAACTTATTAATTAGGCATTTTTTTGTATATAACTAGTAAACTAGTGAACCTTTAGAATTAAGCATGGAAAGTTTCACTTTGTTGTAATTCAACGTTTTCGAGCAAAATGATGAGTTACAGACGGGAAGGTCACGAACAATTCAAATTACAGCCACAATTAAACAGTTGAAGGAGAGTGTTGTCGAAAATACAACAACTTCAACTAGGCAACAATCATCACTGGTTCGATTGTCTTGAACAGTGATTCCCAACTTTTTTCTCCTCACGAACCCTTTCTAAAATCCGAAAGTCGTTAATAACAAGTTAAAAAAATTGGTAGAACATTTAGTTTCCAGATTGCGCAATAGTTCATAACAACAAACGAAAACATCTAAGTAAAAACACTAAAATCATAGGTTTACAAAATGAATACAAAATAATTTCAACAAACCTACTAGTTTTTAGTTAAGCATGCGTTAAATCTGGAAAAGAATCTTAATGGGATATTTGTGGTTGTTGTGATGTTTACAAAGTAATTCAAAGTATGGCTTGATATTTGACAATTTCAGACCTAGATCAGGTTCTGTATTTAACCTGTTTCTGTATTTATCTTTTGAATAAGTATATGTTGAAAATCCTTTCTCACATAGATACGAGTCCCAGAAATACCTGACTTCACGTATGAATTGTGTTTTTTGTTTTAAAGAACTACTATGATCAAAAGTATCAAACTTACAAAGCTTAAGTTTGAAGACGCGACGTTGTTTTTATGAATCGTTTGACAGCCATCAATAGTAGTCGGCCGCTGTCAGTGAATTTGTGAATATGAAATAAAAATGGTCATCATTATGTGATACAATACTTTCATTTAAAAGGTCTCAATCCAACCAATATCACAGCCAAGCTATATTCTACTCTGGGGGGTCTGCTTCTTCGTTTAAATTGCATTGGTCAACAAATGAGATGAACACGCCAGAAATAGTGAAGAAAATCGATTCTCACTATAAACAAGGTATTGAAGCTAATGAACATCGCTGGGAAAAGTGTATCAAGCTAAAAGCAGACTATGTTGAGATATAAAGATATTTTTTTTCATTTTTTTGTGTGTTTCCTTTGTTAAGTCGGGTACTTCTGGGTCTACCCTCGTATGTTTTGCAAAAGGGTAATAAACAATTAATTTGTTTGACAAAACATGATGTTACTTTTGTAATACTGAGCCAGTAGTTAATTGAAGAGAGATTTTTAAAAATAACTTTCAGAGAATTCTAATAAAGTTAGAGCGGTTTATAAACTTACATTTCCTTGGAAAGCACTATGTATCCAGTTGTTTGAGAGAGATATATTGCATTTATTAGGAATATAGACAGTTCATTGAAGATGCTTCAGATGTTCACATATATTCCTTTTAATGTTTTGGTCAAGTTCAATTGAATTTTCTGATAAAAAATGTGCTGAGAGAACCAAAACATTCGTATTCAAATCAGATTAAAAAATTTAACTGTCTTAGCATGGCCTCAATTGTATCATGCACACTGAAAATGGTAACAATCGGATAGGAACCGCTATTGAAGAATCTGCACATTTTTCTATACAAAATTCAATTAATCTCTAAAAATGCGGACTTTACTTGTCCTTTACTTTGGGGTTACTTGAATGATCGTATCTACCTACTTGCCATCATTCAAGCGCGAAAACTCAATATTGAGCACAAAGTTCGAGCAATACCAAGCAGGAAGATTATGGAAAATTCAGTTTTGTACAAAGCAGAAAATGGAAGTCATCTATGTGATATAATTATTTCCAATTGATTTGTAAAAAAAATATTGAATAATTAAAAAACTCCAATCGTCATTTTTGTGTTTTAATCATTATTTTAGAAGTTATAGGGAAAACAAGTTTGCGACTTTTGGGCCAACCTGTATTATAATTTTTAATTGCGTGAAAATATATATCTATCATTCAAGTTAAATATTGAAAATAATATTAGCTAATGTATTACTTATGGATATAATTATTTACTTACTTTTCTCATGTACAGATAATAAAAATAATTTGTCATAAAAGAAGCGTTACTATTTTAATTTTATATTACGTAAGAAATAACTTAAAATAAATACATACATATTTGTTTAACTACAATACTAGTTTATAGTGTTTCATATTTATATTTATTTTATGTTGAAAGTATAAAATTTTGCCATAAATAATTTAAAACAAATATAAAAATATTGTTACAATTTTGTCGTTAAATTTCTTTAAAATTAGCTAATATTAATAAATTAATTATTCTAATTATATTTTCGAACAACATTAAATATAACCTTAAAATAAAAACATAATTACGATTAAATAAAATTATAACGCCTTTTTTAGGATATTTTGTAAAATTATTTTGTAAGTTTTAAACAATTTAAACAGAATCGTTTTTTTTAATAAATACTTTATTTTCTTAGACACATTAAACGTTTACAATAAATTAGTTTAATCAACTACAATTAAATATGTTTCTACTATAAATACTAGGTGATTGTATAAGAGCAAACGAAGTAGAAAATAAGTGAAGATCGGAAGGAGAAATTCACCTTCTAAAACGAAGAAATGTCTGATTGAGGTGTCGGTAATTGGTCGTGTGGTATTGTGTGTATGCTTCTGAGAGGTGAACCAGAGCGTCAAACATGTAATGAGGATCAACGTCGGGCGCGAAGTCATCCCGTCCTTCATCATCAACAATATCGTCTTCATCTTCGTCGGTTTCTGGGTCGGAATGGGTTTCTCTTTTCGGTCTCGGTCTCCTTATTTTCAAAGGCCTTCTTCGTCGTCGCCTCCTCCTCCTCAAATTGGCCATCGTCACCGAAGCCATCGTAGAAGAGACCGGTATCATCATCATCACCACCTTCTTACCTTTACCCTTCAAACTCTGCACAATCAAACAGAGTAAATATCCACCGAACGCGAGGAACGCCAAAGTTGTCACGGACATTTGGAACACGGATTGCATTCCTTTTTTCCCATCCGCACTCTCCACTCCGCCATAATCGCCGCGTTTCAAAGGGTTTTTCAGGATTCGCTTCAAAGCCATTGGAACTCCAAGCACCAATTCCTCCTTGGGAACAACTTCTTCGACGTCGTTTAACTCGAAAGTGTTCTTGACCTTCAGCAACTTGCTCATGGGAAGTTCGCTCAGAGTTCTCACATCAAACGAGCTTGAAAGATGTTGCGGTTGCACCGGAGACAGTAAAAGGAAGAGCAGCAACATCATTTCTTCGATGTTCGTGAAAGACTGATCTTCAGAAAAGTGCACGTCGACTCTCCCGAAGGGAAAATTGGCGTAACCCACCTACGAAAAGTGGTTCACAGTTGGTTGCCCAAGCGGCTTCCGACAAACGCGAACCACAGACAGTCACCAACCGCAGCTCGAACCATGCACACTTTAAGAATACTCGTTCTCACGCTCTTCTTCGCGACGGCTTTCGGTTTCAATTTTGGGCAAAACTCAGTTTTCGGAACGATCAAATCGGGTTTGGAGAAAGCCGGGAAGATGTTGGGATTGGATAGGGCTAGCGGCGTAGCGCAGTTAGTTTCAAACGCGTTCAGCAAAAATTCCAGAAAAGGAGAAACTAATCAAAAGGATACCATATTCTCAGGATTTTTACGAATCTTAGGATTGGACAACAAGAGGATCGGGGCTATAGCAGTGAACGCTATAATCTTCATGGCACAATTGGTAAGTCAAATCAACCAAAATTAATCATTTCTTTTAACAAATATTTTATTATTTAGATTAGCACTTCGTTATCGAAAGCGCCTCCGGCATACATAACTAGCCAAAGACGCGATTTAGATGAATCTCCTTTAGATTGGATGTTGAGTAATCCGGAAGTGGAGAAGATGTTACCTCATGCAAGCAACGGTAATCTTCCCCATCATATCGTAGAATTTCTTCGGGAAGGACCGGCGCGGGATTCCACCGGATGTCTTCAACTGCTGATCTGCAAAGGAGCGCCTTTCGTTTGGGGAATGCAAAGGGCGATCAACGCTAAAGGAAAGGATGTTAAACGAGGCTTCAGTGCTTTAACCGATTACATTCCAAGCTTGGAACAGGTTGCCGAACACGGGGACGAATGCGAAATCAAACACCCTTACTGTATTATAAACATCTAACTTTATTCATCACTCAGAAATGCCTTTTCTCTCCGGCACAGAGACTCAACTTCGTGAGACTTCCCCGACTTCAGTCCGCATATTATATCCAACTTGCACTTCGCAGTATCACATTTAGGTCTTGCCGGACTTCCGGCGTAGAAATATCTGCAAAGAACAATAGTTACAAAATGATCAATCACAGTGCATCAATCAGAACGAATCAATCAAAATGGATGAATGAGAAAAGATCAATCAAAATATATCAACCAAAATGGATTAATCAAAATTGATAAATTCATAAAATTACCTGTAAAATCTATCGAAAAGCTTAGAATCTTGTAGAATCCTCTCGATCAACTTTGACCATTCCGCCGGTCTCAGAGATGTCATCCCATAAGCGGATCTCGCCGAGTACAGCTTCCTCCAAATCGGCTCGGAATCCGGATTGGAATTGGATCTGACTAGATCCATGATCCATGTCTCGTGATCGATCACTTCCTTGCAATAATCGCACAATTCAGTTACAGTTAGTTAGTATTCGTGTTAATACAGAAAGCACGCGATTTGTTTGTTCTCGTTGGAAGTCGCGTGCTCCAGATGTTTAGCATCTCCCACAAAGGTTTTATCAACGGAAACCACCATTTATTTATTATTTATGTTTTGGAAACATCGCTTTGATTGCCATTAATAAAAAGCGTTAAAAAATAGTTTTGTTATGTTTTACTCCCATCCTCAATTTTCTTTTAAAAATATATTTACCCTTGTAGGATTATCCGTGTCTGCATCTACGTAGTAAATTCTATAAGCGGGATTCAAGTACTCGTACGTTGTAACGACGGGACCTATGTAAGCAATCCCCGAGGCTTGCTCTAAAAACAAAATAAAAACAAATATGACATATGTCAAAACAAATTCCAATAAATTAGTTTAAGTTCGATAAATCTCTCATTTTATCACAATTAATTTATTATTTCTGTATAATTTTGTGGTCATATTTTATTTACATAATAAATCTAAACTAATTTTTCAATTATTGAATCTAATACATAAAATCTTATATTTTCCATTTAATAAATTAATTAGTTTTTGCTATAATTAAATGTGATTTTTAAAATTTAATTTGCCATTAATCTTTGTTTATCACCAACAATGAACTTTTTAATTATAAAGTCCTGTTTTCAGTAAGATTCGAATACTGACGTTAATTGGTGTATCACGACGTGTGCTGTAGTGGTATTAAAATGAAAGTGGAACGGATGAATTTCGCGATTTGGGCCGAATAAAGTGAATAAAACGATGAAAGAATAAAAGTAAACGCATTCTTTCGGTATATTTTGGTGTTCGCTTCGGGCGAGATGTATTGTATCAACTGTAGTAACATCCCGTTTCGACGCACACCAATAATAAATATAGCATACTGAAATAGTTCACTCGCCATTATTCAGTGTACATGTTATACAGATAGAGAGAGAAATGAAGAGAAAAATGTAGACGATTCAAATATTTATTGCCGGCTATTGTGGTCCGACAATGAGAAATTAAATAAACCGATGGATTTGTTTGGATAAATACTGAAAGATGGATGAGAAATGGATTAGAAATGGATGAAAAATGGATGAGAAATGGATGAAAAAAATGATAAAATTCATAAACAAATCCTTAATAAATTAAATATATAGATGGAATGGAGAAAATGCATACATGGAATGGAGAAAGGAAAAGAGAAATTACTCACCAGTCTTGTTGTCCATGTAGAACACCTCGAACTCATCATTGTGTGTATGACCAAAAAATTGTGCGACCACCGTGTCTCGGTATCTGTTGATGATGTCGTAGTAGTTCTTGGACCACATTTTCAAACAATCAGAAGCGCCAGGCGGCACGTGACCTACATCAGAAAAAAAGTTAGATTCTCTCATTCTCTACAGAAATTATAACACGAATCGTCTTAATGTGACGAACACGACTCACCTATTATGTGAACCTTTTCACTTTTCTCCTCGGCCAAATCCAACTCGTGCACGAGCCACTTCAGCTCCTTTGCTGGATCAGTGCTATTCAAGAACAACCACCAACTCAGAGAGTAGCAATAGTTCATGTTGAGAGAGATCAATCGGAATTTCGGACGTATCAGGACCGAGTAGAAACCCCCGTGGGACAACGTTTCGTTCACCTCCGAAGGCAACCATTTGCTCCATTCTTTCGAAACTTCCTCATAAAGCCAATCGATAGATTGATCTTTGCTCTTTATCCAAGGTGGCGGAAAACTACAATCAACATAATAATTATTTTTATCATTTAGATCAAATGAATTAGTATTACAAATTATTTGATTATCTCAGGTACAATATTGTTAGGTTATATTATGTAAGGTTAACATGAAAATCGGTTAAATTAAAACAGGTGAAAATATAATTCATTTTAGGTTAGATAAAATTTAAGTAATGTAGATCATATTATTTAGATCCATTGAATTTATATTAAAAAATATATGATTAACTTATTTTAATTTGAGATTAAGTCAACTTAGGTTATATTAAAAAATAAGTTGGGTTAGGTGAAGTTTAGTTAAGCTTAGATTAAAACGTCAAATTCAAAACATTAAAGTATGAGTGACATATTCAAGAAAATATACATCTTTAAACAAATCAATTGCTCCGCTTTCGTCAATGATAAGTTAAAGTTAATATAACGATGATTTACGATTCAATATGAGAAAACAAATTTTAAATTTCAAGGCGAAACATAATTGAAGCAAAACCGGTCCAAGCTCTCAATTAATTTGTATTTAAAAATTTCCACAACAAATTTGATCTTATTAATGTTTTTTCTCTTTCTCTCTGTTTATTTTTAGTTGTTATTATACATTGAACGTTGATTTCGATCACGCAAATACTGTTTTTGGAATCAGTCATTTAATTGCTCATTTGTTTTTCACTTTGTATTAATGAAAGATTCGTAAATAACTTCATTACAATAGAAACTAATTATTAAAACAATTTTCAGTTTGTCTGAATATCTGCTTTTAGTTGAATATCTGTACCTATATGATTCGTATAGAATGCAGATATTGCAATACCTTGAAAACACGTTTTCTTTGTTTGGTGTCATTGTTTGAACAATTGAGAAAGTCAAATATTGTACTCGAAATCATTGGTAGTTTTCCCAGAGATGCTTCAAGGTCGCCTCGGTTAACATCTATTATAATTATCAGTTAAAAATCTACAGTTTGTTATTAGGTGCGTAAAAATTAATGGACTCGCTCGGTGGTTTGTCATTGAATTTCACGCTTGGTGTTTCGATGAAATCGAATCGTCCTTGCGAATTGTCGATAACCTCACGAGAAGATCGTTTCCGCGTTTCGACAAAACTTTGATGGAATCATGATTGGCGTTGAAACAATTGAGTGAAAACAGAAACTCACTTTCCAGCTGGGATTCCTTCGTGATTTCCCAAAGCCGGGAAAATCGGGATGTTCGGGAAAGTTTCGAACAGTTTACCGATGGTAAAGCGAATGTTATCGATGTTTTGCTCCTTCGTCTGATTCCAAATATCGTGCGGAGGGATGTCACCCGTCCAAATTACGTAATCGATGTCCTTAAAATAAATAAAATTAAGTTTCATTCATAATCAATTATTTCTTTTAACTCACAGGATGTTGTCGAGCTATGTGGGAGAGCATAGCTTCGAAAAGGACTTGAGGCGTATCGCATTTCCCGAAGGTTCCCCACCTGAGTTGCAAAAAAATTGAATAGTTAGGGATTTTTAATATTAAAGTTTGTGACAATCATTTACTTTCCGGCCCTTTGAACCTCCACCTTCTCAGTTGGCGTGCTATAATTCCTGCAGCATAACGGTTCCTGGCAGTTGGCAGGACTACCTTCCGTATAATCAGGATCAAAGTGGGTGTCGGATAATTGCAACACCTTGAACGTGGGCGCGTCTTCCTGCAAATAATAACGCTGATATAATCGTATTTATTTTCCATTCGCAATTCAACCTTTGGTAACGGCGAGTCCCAGATTCCTTTTTCTGATCCTTCATTCCTCAAGTCAACAGTCCAATCGTGCAGAGGATTCTCCACATCTCCGCACCTCTCCTCCATGAACATTTTGCAGATTTGCTCTGAGTCTAAATGTAGAAGTAAATACATTTTATTTATTTTATAATTGTTCGGTTTCAACCTTTGGAATATTGACCTAAGCAATTGCAAACTCACTCAGTTTAGTCATCTTCAGTGCTGGAAGCACCACGGGTCCGTATATGTCGTAGACTCCGTTGCAAACGGGTTCGGTTTCGATGCGGAAACCGACGCAAATAGATACAAACTTCTCCTTGATCTCCTCAAAGGTACCATCCTTGTCCACTTCCGATTTCAACAGCGAGACACCTGCAATTTCATTCAAATGGCATCTCATTACTTGTTAATTAACACTAATTAACTTATACCCGAGAGTTTCTATATGCAAATATAATAGAAGATTCTTCAATAACAAAACCGAGAATAAATAAAGACATTACAATATTAAATTAAAATATCAAAAATACAAAAACTGATAAAAGTTAATTTTTCTTTCGTTTAGTCAATCTCAGATTATGAAAGTTAATAAAAATCACTTTATAAAAAGTTACTAGATGTAATTAATTAAAATATTAATAGGTGGAGTGATTGTGTAACATTTCGACGTTCTTCAATAATAGAAGCAAGAAGTAATGAAGAAATTGCAAGTGCTAAGCAAATTTTTAAATTATTAATGTCAACAAAGTGTTTCGCAAATCAATGGAATTAGCACTATGCAAAATGTTGTCTACTCAATAAACCTACAATAAACGAAACAGTCTTTGACTTTTAGAAGTTTTCATTTCAACTTTATGTTTTCATTAATCGAGCCAAAAAAAATAAAAAAAGAATAATTTAATTAATTACAAATTTTATGTAATTTCTTCTTCTTCCAGTACAAAAATAAAAAAATTCATTTCAATTTCTTAAAAAAAAAATACAGAAAAAAATGCAATTCGCAATCTATTATTGTAATTTTTAATTAATATTTTAACCTTTTTTAAGTTTAAAAGAAAAAAACTAATAATGTATAATGTAAGTAGAATCCTATTTGACTAATCTAATTAAATACAACAAAAGTTAATTAGCAATTATCAAAATGTTATCTACTCTTGAATTGTTAATTTAAAAAAAATTGATTTACATATGTGTTGTCCTTTTTTCAATTATAAAACCGAAATGTAAACAAGAAGTTACATAAATGAAACCAGTTTTGAAAATAAATAAAAGATGACATTCTCTCAATTCGCAAAAATAATAATCAAATTAGTCAACTCGATTCAATAAATGAAATACAAAATACTTTGTCTATTTGAAAAAAAAAGTTCTTATAATGGAAGAAAATTTTGTTTTGAAAGAACTTTCACAATTCGGTCTCATCGGCCGTTTTTACGTGACTTCAAAAAATGGATTAAAAAAATTCCACACTACGAACTTTCACTTTTGTTAATCAATTTAACATCTACACTCGAACAGTTATATATCATATATTCGAATATTTAACTATATTTAGTTCAATCACAAATTATGTTGATATTTGAATTTATTGGTTGAACATAAATTACGTAAGTTAATAAAATCAAAATCTTAAAAAAAAATTATTTTGACTGGAATAAATTACTAAAAAATAATTAAGTTTTAAAAGAAATATGCTAAATAACTTAATTTTCTGTATTTTCTATACAATAAACTATTGATTTGTTAAATGACTATACTTTTCATAAAGTTTTTTTTTAAGAAAATTGTTAAAAATAGTTTAAATGTTATAATACTTTACCTAGTCGACAAGTTGCGCAAGTTAAACGTCCGGTCAATGAGCTATGGTCCGCTCCGAGATCCTGAAGAGTCTCCTCATCATCACCAAAAAGATCTTGATTTTTGCTCTGAAAATAATAGAAAAAATCGCATGAATATAAATTTATATATGTTATGACGTTTTTTTTCTATTAGACTATAATCTTCTAAGTTTTTCAGCCTGTTACCAATGGTAAAAAACAACAAAACATTTTACTTAAATTTTATCAATTGTAACTCACCATGCGAAGCGTAGATGTCAAGCTGTGATGATTCCCTTCTGACGACAGAAGGGCTTGATTGTGCGGCGCAACTTTGTAGTCCCATGGATCATCGAAATCGATCACTTCCGTTTGAATCGGCGTTTGCACTGGTCACCAAAATAAAAAATGTATCAATATAAAATATATTAATCACAAAAAATTTCGTTAGTAACCTGAGTAAACGGCTAAACCGCACGTTATCAGTAAGATAGAATTCGAAATTTGAAAACCCATGCTGCATCTGCAGTTGCTGCTGCTGTCCCTACGAAATGCGCTCGAACAATGCTTCGATCTTCGACGGATTTTCGTTACTTTATTGAACTCAAGGCTAACTACTAAACTACAAAATGGACACACGTACCGAGCGCACAGACAACAGTGACGAACAAATCGCCTGTTGTTTATAAAACAAATGCAAAAAAAAGTTATAACGAATGCAAAAAAAACAATGATGATGGTGATCGTAATAAATGGGCGCACAGGAAACCTGAGCGGTAATCACACGCATTACATCTTCGTTATTGCTACATACGATCGAAGCGCTCGTTGATAATAGGTCATTTGTTTATAAACAAGAGAACGCAACCGATCGATGAGTTTATTCGTGGAATTGTTGTTATTTCCCTTTCATCGTTTCGAACTTCCTGTCACACGCCAGAGACATCTACAATATGAATCGACAATATAAACATTTGCTAATGATTACGTGTATTCATTACTTGGCGAAACATACAAACCGCGAACATGAAACGATGTTAATCGTTTATTTAGTTTATAAATTATATACAAATTAGCAATACTAATAGAAATTTAGAATTAATTCATAAGTTTCGATAGAAAAATAAAACAATTGATGCGTATCTTTCACACTAGATTTACGTAACTTGACAGAATACAAAATGTTTAATTTCTAAAACATTGCATAAAATTGCAATGTATTAAGAAATTTATTATAAACATAATTCTCATTTAATCAACATATAATTATTTAAAATTAGTATAACAAATAATGCAGTAAATTAATTTTGTTAATATTTACAATAAATAATAATTAAAAAAACTTCAAAAAAAAAATAACGAAGAAAGTAATCTGCAATTTATATTATTTATAGTAACAAAATATAATTTGAATTATAAATTAAATTAAAAATGAATGCAATTAAATTAAGTATTGTTCTTTTAACTACAGAAATTTCAAATTGAAAAGTGAAATTTGAATGTTTGTATATTGGGTTGCCTATAATATTGTTGCATTTGTTTTCTGTATATTCACGTAATTTAATAGATTTATATACTTTACCTAAACATATTTGTTTTCATCGTTTCAATTGTGTCAGAGCGGCGTCTGACACAATTCTATGAGGTGCGGAGAGTGGCGATCATCTCGGATTCGATAAGTGTTATCGAGTCCATCACTAACCAATCAACGACGGTGAAAACTAACCACTGGGTTGTTGAAATACGCAGGTTAGAAAAATGGAAACTGATGGGGGAGCTGTTGTTTTGTATTAGCCACCAGGGTATCCTGGGTAACGAGGAGGCTGATGCTCTGGAAGCAAGAGGTCATCGACGTGAAATCATCAACATCAACAACATTTTTCGGACACATATCCGCATATCAGAGTGGACGCAATGTTGGAATGGCAAAGCAGATTTGAGTTGGAGAGAAAATATAAGGAGTCGTTCTTTTATAGATTCAACACGACTGTCAGGAGGCACCCATGGTTTTTGAAGATGGGGTTCAGCAGGAAATCGGAGATTGCAGTTCTCAGTCGTTTGAGATCTGGACACACGTTAACCCCTGTGCATTTGGTACAAAAGTATCGCTATAGACCACCCAATACACGCGCAGTTCTCTAAACACAAATATCAATCTACATTAGCCATCCGAGATCTCTCCTAACACCTTTGTACTGAATCGCTGAGACCCCGATTTCAAAGCTGTTATTTAGTGTAGTCGTCCCATATGTTTTTCCCCTGACCCCGGTAACTCAGGGCAGTTTAGATAAATCTCCAATTAATAAAAGCAGTGGCTGGTGAAATTGTGCAAGATGCGCAAGCCAAGTGTGGAGAGGAAAAGAGAAGAAGAAGATATTTTTCATCAAAGCCGCAGGAGCTCCGACTCGACTTGTCTTACCTTTGTATCTGTAGAACCCGTCAAATCACAAAGTACACTAACTTAAGACTGGCACATCAGAAGGCGAAAGCCTGAGAAGATGAAGATTTTTTTTTATGCCGTATAATTTTATTCATAATCTGTTCATCTATGTAAACATTGAGTAAATTTAAGATCGCGGTTGACAATAGATGGATAATCTTTCCCGGTGAATAGTTTACCATCATGATTATTTGAACATTAATAATTACTTAAATCTATATACTAAATCTAGTGGTTTGCAACGCTTCAGCCTATTTGTGGTTTCACTGTTGTCGAGTAGGCCAATAGCCAGAACATTAGTATGTGACTCCAGTCTATCTTGGTATCTACTACTAAATGTTGGTATTGTATCCTCGACATATCTATATGAAAATCTTCATGTATTTGTTTATTCCTGACGAACCCTGGGGCCCTAATAATAGAAGAAGATTAAAAAAATATCTGTTTGTCCACGTAACTCAGTATTAATATATGATTTATACGTGCCAAATGAGGTTTTTATTTATAATTTATTTAAAATTTAAGAAAAACCAAGCGGTGCTTTTAAATAATATTTTTTATTAAAGAATCAAATTTGAATTAATGTTTTATACAGTGGAACCTCGCTTAACGAGTTTAATCTGTTCAAAAATTTCCGGATTTTTACTCGTATAGTGAAACATATTCAAAAATACACATAATATGTGTACACAAGTTTTAAAAATGATGTAGCAGACGCGCAATCCGGTACTTCTCTTCTCATCGTCATTCGTTATGCAAATCGTCGCTCGTTAAGAGAGTAATTTTTCTTATAATTCATTTTGCTCGTTAAGCGAAATGCTCGTTAAGCGAAATGCTCGTTAAGCGAGGTTCCACAGTATATGTGTCATAGTTGTGTTAAGCCAATATTTAAGTTTCTTTTATATTTCTCGAAATGGTAGAAAATTGGTTTCTCAAAAATTAGTTTGAAATTTTCGATTTTAACTGTGAAAATGTCGATTAGAGAATATGTAAATTCTGAAATTTCCTAAAGTAAATATTTATGTTTCTTTTCAATTTCTCGTAAGAGAGTAATATAAGCAATGTTTGGTAGAAAATTGAAGAACTCGGAATTTGGTTTGTTGATTTCTATATAATGAACTTTCTGTAATGTGACTTTATGTTTATTGAGTTGCTTATAATTTGATGTTTTTTTTTAAATCGATATTTATATATGCTTTATACTTACCAACTGCGGTTATTCTTTGAAAAAATTAAGTAATATGTAGGGGAAAACCGAACGTTTATTATTTGTATAGTAACATCGGATGATGTTGAAAATCATGTTATTCCAAAGTATTTATAGACGCTATAATAAATATAATTGTGTTATTATTGTCGCATGCTATTTTTGAATTAAAAAAGAAACAGATAAATTTCTGTCTAGTGCATCACGTCCAATTTATTATAATTTTGTTTTTCCTGTCTTTCGGTTATTTAAGTTGAAATTGTGTTCTAACATAGATTTTTTATAAAATTTGTTTTTTTTTATTGATTAATTTTATAGGAAGATTTTTTTGCACAATATATTGTCAATTATAATTATAATGTATTCTCCGGGAAGAAAAACCTTTGTCAATATTCCTTTGGTCATATTGTATGACCAATAAATATGTTAAAATTAAAAAAAATAAAAAATAATAATTTTAAGAAAAGCATTTTCTTAATTAAATACAGCACTGAATTGTATTTCATAATATTTAGAATTTCTATAATATTCATAAATATTAGATTTTGATAAAAGAAACTTGAATATGAATAATTTTACTAAATTTTTATTTAATTAAATAAAACTGAAAGTGCAATATTTTCAATAAATTGTCTTTTTTTGCAATAATTATTCTGAAAAATTAAAATATTACATTTGTTGATAGGTTTTGTATTGATAATAAGTATTTGGTTTCATTGGTATTTATTATATAGTAATCATTACATTAATATGTTAATTATTAGATATGTTTCGTTTTAAATAATTTACATATTTAGAAATTTATGAGAAATATATCTCGTTAAAAATGACAAATATTAGATTAGGAATAGTTGATAGGAAATGATTTAAATTTAGATTAGAGAGATAACATAATTTGTTAAATATTTCAAATGGAAGTACTTGAAAAATAAACAAAAATACTAACTACATGAATTTATTAGAAATGAGTATTTTGTTTCTATATAAGTATTATACTAATATTAAAATTTTATATTTAATTTGATGAATTTCGTAAATTATTTGAGTATATTCAACAGAATTTCCTATCTAAACAAGTATTAGCTTAATTATTGAAATTTTATATTTAAAAGTAAATAAGTCTTTATGTTCGTTTATTTATTATAAAATAGTAAGTAGAAGATATTATAATGTTTACTAAGTATTGGCAATTAGCAAATGAGATATAATTTCTTTGGGTTAATGGTCCGTACTTGGAATTTAAGTGCGATATCTATGTATTTATGTAATTAAGAAAGATTTGCTGGTTTAATTACGCGGAAAATAGTTTCGAAATTTGGTCATCTGGTGGTGCGTAGTAGAATCTTGCAGTTGCAGAGGGCGCTAGTGTTGCCGATGTTTTGACGTTTCTGGTTGTTGACTTCTTGAAGCATGTGTAAACATAACCCAAAAGTTTAGAGAGTTAAAGGTGCGTTTCGGTGGTTATTGAATTTGAAGAAAGAGAATGTCCGAGGAGATTTCGTCACGGGTGGACGTCGGTTTCTGTGAGGAAGTGCACGAGAAATGGAGAGTGCAGAGCGCCCAATTTCCGAGTAAGGTGGGCGGGAAGCCAGCCTGGCTTTCGTACGAGAATATTCCCGGTTACGAGGATTTAAAATGCCCGAAATGTGAGAATCAGATGTGCTTCTTGTGCCAGGTGTACGCGCCACTCGAGGACGATCCGGCCAACTTCCACAGAACCATTTTCATATTCTTATGTCGCAGTGCCACTTGTTGTCAGAGAAACCGTAGCGACACCGTACGGGTGTTCCGCAACCAGTTGTCCTGGAAGAATCCTTTCTACAGCCACGAACCGCCGCCGGAAGAGGAACCCGTCCACTTTGACGCGGCGCGATTCTCGAAACTCTGCGAACTATGCGGATGCTTCGCAGAGAAAACATGCAGCAAATGCAAGAAAGCCTGGTACTGCTCCAGGGAGCACCAGATTATCCACTGGAAGGATCATCACAAGGACGCGTGCGGAAACCCCTCGAAACCGTCGAAGCTGTCAAGCATCCTATTCACCGAGTACGAGATCGTCATCGAGAGCGAGGAGTATAAGAAGAGCGTCGTCAACGAGGAGGATCAGCTGCAGCTCTACAACAGATTAGTCAGCGAAGGCAGAACTGGAACTCTTCCGGAATCGGAGGAGGCTGAACTCGAGAACCACGCCACCTGTGAGAAGGACAAAGTTTTTGCGAATTTCCGGAAACGCGTCGACTGCAATCCGGAGCAAATCCTGAGATACGAGAGAGGCGGAGAACCTCTTTGGATCGCTTCGGAACCGAAACCTGAGGCTGTACCGGATTGCGAGCAGTGCGGAGGTCCGAGGCAGTTCGAGTTTCAAGTTATGCCTCAGCTACTGACCGTCCTCAAGGAGAACGAACTCGATTTTGGGGTGCTGCTGGTCTACACCTGCAAACGGAGTTGCTCAAGTCAGAAAACGTACAGCAATGAGTTCGTTTTCAAACAGGATGTTTGCGAAACTGACACCGTCTGATCATCATCACGACAACGAAAAACAAGAACCTAATCTATCATTAATCATATTGAACCACTTGATTTTATCTGTTTTATATGTAATAAATGATAAGAAAAACGTACTTGCATTTCATTCTCTTGATGTGACTACCGTTATGAAACTTTGAAACCTGATGAAATCGCCTTTTTTTACCTTCGAACTTGTTTTGCTCAATTACACACTTAATTCAAGTAATGCGTCATTTTACATTTACGGAGATTATAAATTTTTCGATTCACATGGATTTTTTTACGTGAATGAAAATCGCGTAAATAAAGTCTGTAAGTAAAAGAAAACAAATGGAAATAAAAGCGACTTTAGAAAAAAAAAACATATTTATTTTATATAGCTTAACAAAAATTAATTATAACATTTCAGAAAGAGTAAATTTTATTCGGTTTCACGAATACTGATTAAAACAAACATCCTTCCTTTTTAATTTCCAAAAACTTATCATCGCTTGAAATATTTAGAAGATTGACTGTAATTTTTTTCGAATAATATTTTATAAATATTTTCTTTTCATAAATTTGCTCCAAATTTATATTTTCTGGCCCGCGTAAAAAAACTCGCGTGAAAATAGTACTCGTAAAATATTGTATAAGGAAATCTATTCTTTAATTCTCATATAAATGTTAAACTATTTTTAAACTTGCCCATTATTACACAATTAAGAAAACGCAAATAATGATTCATTCAAAACAAATATTATGATTCTATAACATTCCTAAAAGAGATTTCAATCCATTTTCTTATAATCCACGATCATGAGCGCAATAAATTAGTATATTAATATTTATTCAATTAATTAGAGATAATCCACCGTAGTATTAAATAAAGTAATACTAGAGTTACCAATTATTTAGACTAATTTAATTAAATATGAAAGTAAGTCTCTTGATTTGTTAAAAAAATATTTGAATATTTTTGAAATCACGCTTAATAGAGTCCTGCACCCAACCTACAATTGAACTACAGCGCCATCTCTACCCGAATAGAAATAACATTGTTCAAACTACTAATTGGTTTAAGTGTCCGTTAACGTTAAGCAAAGCGATAGTTTAATAGTTTAAAATAAGTAAATAAAAAATCAATAACTTCTATAAACGTGTTATGAATTGAGTTTCATAATGGAGTTTTAGATATTCAAACTGATTATCGTAGATTATTAGAATTAAATAATTGTTATATTAAGGAACATTACTTAAAATTTCTTTTTGTTTTCATTTTTTCTAATAGTTGATGCAGTCAAACAATTAAAGTAAGTCTCACGTTCTTAAAATTGTACTGAATGCCATTACAACAAAAAATATAAAATTCTGGTTAGTAGTAAACACGTTTTTCAACTTGTTGCACTTTAATATCGAGCGATATCCGAAGAAAGATAAATTATGATATAAAAACACAAACCAGTTTCGTAAATACGAGCATTTTTTTTTAAATTTATAATAAAATAAACACATTTTACTAAATTTAAATAAATATTTTCTAACAATTAATGAAAATATTAAATATTTTATTCATTGTTAATAATTTTAAAATGAATAGATTATATTTTTAATTATTTTTTTTGTTAATTGCCTATAAACATTTAATATAATTTGCATTAATATAACAAAAAAAAAAGATAATTTCATAATGATGGAAACTTACATCTATTTTCATCTACATATTTCAAAGTCAATGTGTCAAATATAATAATTTGTATTAATTTGACATTGGCCAACATTTACAAATCTCGTTGTTTTTTTTTTACTTTCTTTAGCGCAACGGTTGACGTTGTTCGCAATATTTAAACAGTGATGCACATTGTTCGCTTAATTGTTGAAAACAAAGTTCTGCGTTATCTGTTTGATCTGGACTTAACAAATAAACGAATAGACGGAGAGAAATTCTACAATTCTAAAGCAATAAAAACGTTGGGAAAAACAAGCGCACAGATTAATTATTGGCAAATCGATAGCAGGTATTACACGAATTACGTAATCGCGTAAAAATGCGACAATAAATCATAAATTAAGTTATCTTATCGATAGATTCTGTAATTACATGATTGCTTTTTCTCTCTCTCTCTATTCGTTTCGTTTCCATGTGAATTCATGTTATTCATTTATTTTTTCTATATATATATATATTTTTATTTAATAAAAACCTTAAACCATACATAGTATTACTTAAACCTAACAATAATATTATGCTGATAAAGTAACTAAGACTAGTGTTTTTTTTTAATTAAAATTATTTTAGCTCTTCCAGTTTTTAAAACTTGTTTAGCTTGAACGTTTCAATTGTCGAAATAAAAAAAAATATTTGGAGCAGAGCCGCCCAAAGAAGATTTTCCATTCAATTCGCATTTGAAGGAATGCAAGTTTTGATGGAGATACTGAACGAAACTTACTTTCACGTTTGAATTGTATGGAAATTCCTCTTGCGTTTTTGTTTTTTTTGCAGTGCTCACGAAGTGCGGTTTTTTTTTTGTACTTAAAAATTAATATTCAAATAAATAGTAAAATAAATAGGAATCACTGTGTTTTTAGATTAGCGTACGTGCTAAGCTGGCTGGTGATTAGTTGTGTTTTTTTTTTAAATTTTGTTTTGAAGTGGTATCACGTGGTCAGTGGACTTAGGTGCGGGCCTGCTGGTTTTTGATGATCATCTGCTCGAACTGCATGATCAGCGATTGAGGCCTGATGATGTCCTCCTCGTCGGCGTCGCAGAGTTCCGCCAGGGATTTTGCCGATTTAAGGGTGGTGGTGTTGTTGGTAGTTGTTGATGTTGGGAAGGGTTCATCCAGGGTTTCTGTGGATGCGTTTAGCTGTGCCATGGATTTGGTCGCTCTGAGTGCTCCCATCTTCGGCTGCTCCATCATGTCCAGGTCGATCAAGGCGGCGAAATCGGGGTTCGATTTCCGACGCATCGTGCGCAGCTCCTGCTCCCTGGAGTGCGCCTCCTGGATTTCCTTTCGCATCCGCTCCTCGATGGGCACGTACCCGTTGCGTATCCTTTTGCTGGAATCCGTGGTGACTTTGAGCGGGGAAAAGTCATGCGAGGACGTGGAGGTCATCGTCAGGGAGTGCGACAAAGGCGCAGAGAACGACTTACTCGCGTGCTGCTTGAACGTGTTCATTATGCCCAACTTTCCCCTGGACCTGATGAACTTTTGCATGACGCCCTTGGCGTTGCCGTTCTGCGCGAATCGCCGCACCCCCAGGACTGGTTTTTGCTGCTCCACCGGATTCGAGCTGGCCGAGGGCGCGTGACCGTTGCCCACCTGCTCACTTCCGTTCTTCTTCACTTCCTCTCCTCCACCATCGCCGTTTACATTGTTGTTGTTGTTGTTGCTGTTGTTAGTAATATTGTTGCCGTTACTGTACAAATTCCTCAACTCCTTCTCGCGCTCTATAACATCCATGATCTCGCGCTGGATGCGGTCCAAAGTTGTGTTCTCCGTGGACGGCATATTAACCTGATTCAACATCTCTTCAGCTCAGCACTCTTTACTCAGCAAAGTCTACTCGCTACTATTACTTACATGTGTTTCTGCACCGACTAATGCCCTACGACTGATATCCCTTATCACGAACCGATAGCAACAGGTGTACTAACTAACTTATTATCACTCTCTCTCTATTCTATCTTTTTTATTTTATGTATTTTTTTTGTTTGTTCTTTCACTCCGACAAAAAATTGAAATGTGCTTGCGCGGCACCGGATTCCATCTGCGTTCACCTGAGGTCACAGACCAACTTATCTCTTAAATATCTGGAACAGTTACGGCTCAGGTAAGGCACATCTGGTGAAAAGCTGACGCCAGATGGAGCGGCTGCAAAAAGCAGCGATTCCACAACAAGAAAAAAAATATAAATCCCTAGATGGCTCTGACCACAAACAGAAAAAAGATATAGCTGTCGCTCGTAACTTCAGAAACGTCAAAGTTTTGTGCATCGCCATGGAGACGCAGACCCCAGCAGCTGAGAGTGCCGTCCAAGTTAAGGAGCCAAAGAGGGTGCTGCATTGCGGCGACGGCGTCCTGGAGGAGTTCAGCGATGAAGAGGACGGTGTTGCCATCACGCCCTCCACCTACGCCGCCAGCGAATCGGCCCTGCAAGATCCCGTGAGTCATCGCCACAACCTTAGTTTATAGATCACCACAACAACAAAGACATAGTATAGATGGCGCTACCAGTTTGTAACATTAGTTGCCTATGCAGACGCATTCGAAAAGTGTCCGTTAATATGGATTAAGGTCTACGAGCGAAGGTTACTTTCGATTTGGTCCATATTTGGGCACAAAGGTGGCGTGATATCATCGCCGTACTTGGCGGGATCGAATGAAACCGTTCGCGGAAATGGATGTTGCGCAAATTGAAGAGATAAAAATAAAACATTAATATGCAAGCCGTAATTGACCATGGATGACTTGCGTTTAATTTTTTTATGGATGGCTTTGATCCCAATTACTTTCGCGTCGTAATTGCGCGCATTCATAATTATCTCACGTTTTCTCTTCCCATGCGAAACATATCTAATAGGCTGCAATAGAAAAATAATAACAGAACTTACTAGTAACACCACTCTTCTGATATTATCAATATTCACAAAAAATATATAATTATCAATGAAAGTTTAAATTTTATCGTTAATAAGTTAGTAAATTTTAAAATATATGTTTTTTTTTAACACTTAAATCGCACAAAATAATCTTGATTAGGAATGCTTTTAATGGAGTATAGATTTTTAAGTGTATTGATTGGTTAAAACAAATTAATCTGAATATGAAGATGTATTTTAAATCGAATGAACAGTAAATAAATTAATAATAGACATTAATTTATTTTCGTTAACTTTTATATTCATTTTAAAATGTGAACTTTAATGAATTTAAGATTTATTTTACATTATTATATTTTTTTTCTTGATTTAAATACTTTGATTTTTGAAAATTTTCATTTATTAGATTTAATAGAATGTATTTTTTTTTATAAAAATCACAGTTTTAATTATTTTTTTCACTATTTTTGTTGTTAATTAAAGCGTAAAATACAATGAATGGATTAATTGTATTTACAAATTGTGTTCACAGTCGCGCTATAATTGCGACTATTCATAAATTATCTCACAGTTTTTAAACAACTTCTTCAAAAAAATATTTTTAATTAGTCACGCTTTATTACAGATTATATATATGTATATACTCTTTCGCAACTTTCCACTTTTCCACAGTTTTTTTTTTAATTTTTAGTTCTTTTCATGTATTAAATGTGTCGACAATTTAAAATTTTCACCGAAAAAATATTTTATAAGAAACATGGCAAATAATTGGTAGAATTATAATTCTATAAATGGGTTTTAATTTAATAATGAATAACATTTTTTATAATAATTTATAATTTCTTCGAGAGAAGAGTAAAATTTATATTCGTATTGATTTTGATGTAAACGCTTAACGAATTGAAACACCGTGAGTTTGTGAAAAGTTTTGGAATAAGTCGAGACAACTCAATGAACTTTTGACATTTGACTATACACAAATTAGACGTTCGGTAAATAATAATTTTACTTCAATTTGTCACAAAACAATTTCCAATTTTCAGTTGTGAAATTAATTTTCAAACTTTGAGAATTGATTTATTATAATTTCAATACAAATTTTCACAATTTCTACAAATAAATTTCGAGAAGCAACTTTGTTTGTTTCTGTGTTGGCAATTAAGCTTCCAAATTTTACTTGTATATGCAAATTTAATTAGCTTGCAATTTTGAATACTTTATTGAAGTATTTTTGTAATGTGGATCTGATTAAAATTAGTAAAATAAAAATAAAATTATTATTACAATAATTATACCAGAAAATATAAAAAATAGTATCAAAAATCATACAGATTTTATAGAATAGTTCTTATTTTTTTAATAAATCATTTAGTTTATGCAATTTTATGTCGATTGGCATAAAATAAGCGTTACTATTTTGCTAAGTTGATATAAAGTGAACCATTAAACTAAATTTAGTACAAAATTTAAATAAATATTACATTAGAAAATATTATTGAAAAAAATAATACAGTTGAACCTCGCTTAACGAATTTAATCTGTTAAATTTTTTTTGGATTTTTACTCGTGTATTGAAACATATTCAAAAGTACACATAATAGGTGTACCCAAGTTTTAAAAATGATGTAGCAGGCGCGCAATACGGGACTTTTCTTCTCTCATCGTCACTTGTTATGCGAAACGTCACTCGTTAAGCCGGTCATTTTTCTTAAAATTCATTTTGCTCGTGAAGCGAAATGCTCGTTATGCGAGATGCTCGTTAAGCAAGGTTCCACTGTATATCTTTTTATTAAGACTATGGACTTGATTAAAATTTATGTAGTATATCACGAGTTCTGTCTGTATACAATACATCAATGTAATGTAAATTTAAGAATTAGATTTATTTTATTGGTGTTGTTGTGGTTGCAGAAGACTATGACTTGGGGTCCTTGGATGGTGAACAGGGTAACGACAGCGGGGTCGACAGCCCTGGCCGCCTGCGACTACCTCGGCGAATCCTTGGCCTCGTTCTTCGGAATCACCACTCCTAAATACCAGTACGAAATCGAAGAGTACAAGAAGATCGAGAAGGAGAAGAAGGAGTACGAGGAGCAGAAACGCGGATGGATGCCGATGGAAGGTGCGGAGGATACCGCTGGAAGGACCGTGGACGAGCAGCCCTTCTCTTCCGCCCCGGCTACAGCCCCGACTCCGGTCTAGTCGTATGGATGCTAGAGGTAAATGTTTATTAATTCCGAAGACCGGAAAACCCCTATCCCAATGCGAAGCCATCGCAGGTTGCGTTCTATCCCAGATAAAGGAGCTCGTGCTTTAGAGAGAAACAGAAAATGGAAAGGATAGAGAAGAGAGTGTGTAAAACAGAGAGAGAGAACGAGACGAGCGTAGTTGTATAACGCTAATTAATCATTCCTCCGCATTGAGAGCGTTTCCCTGTCGGGGTTATTTATCATCTCGGAGCGCATTGTGGGTGAGCAGCTCTCTTCCCTCTCCCACACACAAACTCCCATTTCTCTCACTCTCTCTCGCACACACTCTGTATCCATGTTATATGCAGTGCTGTATCTAGGTTTAGGGCTTTAGGAATAACACCGTAAATTAACCATTTCTTTCCAATACTACATACTTTTTCTAACATAAAACCACATCAATCTTACATCTAATAAATCAAAAAGCATTACTATTAAATTAACGATATTTTATAATCTACATTCTTGTAAGGAAACTTTATAGTCGAAACTCTTTTAATGAAACATAAAGTTCTTTTAATAAATTACTTCCTGAAACACCTCATATAATTCAATATGAAGAAATAAGCATTTTGTAAATGCAGTTGACAAAGCGCAGTAAATTCTCGACTGTCGCTATTAATGCGTTCCAAAAGTTTTAATGTAAGTCGAAAAACGCGTAAGTCTTTCGACTTGCTTACTATATAAAAATGTATTAAGTATCAATAATAAGTATCAAAAATGTATTAAGTATCATTTCTATTGGTCGCTTTATACTCTGATAGGATAGTAAATTTATTCCAAATGTTCTACACGAAATGAAAAAAGTTTTCTCAACAGCGTATGTATGAAAACGTATTATTAATTGCATTTAACTATTTTTAAAGAAATTAATTTTTATTTTATGATATATTATACCGATAGTTATAAAAGAAGCGTTAGTTTTGTGTAAACTCGTTATATAATTAACGTACAAAGTTGACCATTTACTTTTAAACTAATTATAATTTAAGGACTAAATTTATCAGAACCGTGAATTTGTACATTATTATTACAATGTGTAACCGATTGTCATAAAAGAAACATTGCTATCTTATTATTATTTTTTAATTTACACCTCTTCATTTAATAATAGAAATATTTCCTATTACTGCACATTACTTTTGATTGAATATGATCTAATGTGTGTTAAGTGAATATTATTTTCGAACATCGTCTCTTAACAAAATCATTGCAAAAGTAGTCTTAAATAATGTTTGAAAATTAAATTGAATTAATTCGAATATTGTTTCCAAATTAAGACTAAATTGAACATTTTTGCAATTATAAAGATACAGCAATACCTCGCATACTGCGGTTAATATCGAAAATCGCACAGAAAGAGATTTGTTTGTATAAAGGAAAAATTGGCAATTAATTTTGCTCAATTATATTTTTAGTTTGTGATTTTTTTAAGTGAATCCGGACTGTGCGAGGTATTGTTATAAATTTGTTATAGTGTAGGAACAAAAAAAGGTACACAAATTAGATCATGATGAAAAATATTTAAATTATGGAAAATACAGTTAAGGAAAAAAGTATGGAAATAAATTATTGTTGACGATATATATTATTGATTGTCGTATACAAGTTAAGTACATCGACATCGAATATTTATTAATTTGAGTGAATGTTTATATTGAGATTTTTTACTTGCATATTAACATTTTGGCTTTATTTTATGAATTATTTGATTTTTTTTTATGAAGGAATCGAAAATCCCTGAGTACGGTTCTGCGTATACGTGTGTATATGGGGTCGGTCGGTCGGTGTGTGAAGGGTGGTATACATGTACATGCACGGTGTGCGCGGGGTGTTGCGGAGCGGGGGGCGAGGGAGAAGAGAGGGTGGTTATACGTGTGTGTGTGTAGGGGTCCAGGGGTAATTACTGGGATGCTTGCTGTATGAGGAGGCTCCGCCCGACCAATGGGAGAGCGCTGGGACCTCCCCCATATTGATTAGCGCATGCGGCCCACCGGACAATGGGCAGCCGGGGGGTCAAGAGTCCTCTTCTTCAGGTCAATCACAAACGTAACGCGAGGTTCTTTTCCCCCAATTCCAAACTCTCATTACTCTCTCACAACACTCATTTTACTCTCTTATTCTTTTTGCCCTAAATTTTTTGCGATTACTCTCTCTCTCTCTGGCTCTTTTTAGTTTACGACCCTTCTGCTCTGCAAACAACGCGAGAATTTGAATATCGCGTACGCACAAAACATCCCCCATTTCCCTTCTTCCCGCTTACTAAACATTTTAATGAATCGTGGATAATTTGATTTTAAAAAGACCTTTTATTAATGTAACCTTTTTATTTTTCAAATCCCTTTTTTTGTATGATTTACAAACATACATTTTACTTGTAAATTAATGTTTATTAAAAATGAAAAATAGCATAGCTAATTCAAGAAAATCTCCGTTTATAGTTAAAATATTATAATAAATTATTTTAGATTAAAATAAATTAAGTCAGTCAGTTTAATAATCAAATTTAGTCATTATAACAAAAACATTTATTGTATAACATAATTATATAAATATTTAAAGACATTAAAAATGTTGATGAATTCTATATAAATAATCGCAATTATCATATATATATATATACATTTTGTTAAATTATATAATAAATCATAGTATTCTTTCTTCACTTTTGCTTTACTTTCGCATTACGTATCTTCACGGAATCTTTTAGAACTATTCGAATTTACTTATGCAATATTCGAGTTTCCTCGATTATTGACAATTAACAATGGAAATACGAGTTATCTAATCATTTATTTAACCGAAATTATTATTGTAATTATTACTTTATGTTTATTGTTTGCATAATAAATTCGTTTATTATTAGTAAACACAATTGTGCGAAAACATAATTGAATAATCTATCTATATTGTTTCAATAATATATTGATTCATTATATGCTTGATTAATTTTAGTCATAGTCGATGAATGAATCTATAAAAATGATGAATTCTTGCATTTGATTATATAATTAAAAGCATCATTATTTTCTACTTTTTCATTGGAATCTGTAAGTCCTTAAACCAATAGGTTTCTACAATATTAGTTCAGTTTTATTTAATTTTCTTTCTTTATTTATTTTGTTTTACCGCAAATTTAAATGTTAGTTTTTTCATTTCTTTAAATTGATTAATGATTGTTTACAGTTTACATTTATGAAATGTTATTTGTTTCTTTTCTTTAGTTTTCGTACTTTTTTTTATTAGTTTTTATCAGATTGCTTTACATTATATTTTAAGGTTTTCTTTTAATTAAAATATGAACTTTTTGATTCAATTTTATATTGGATTGTTATGTCTTATTTATTATTTGAGATAAAATTCATTTAGTTTAATATTTGTACTAATAGCTATAAATAAAGACGTGTCAATAAATATTTAAAATAATAAGCTAAGATTATTAATAATTTATGTTTATTGATAATGGAAATCTATACATTTTAGGAGATGAAATGTGATAATGGTTGTACGAACTTTAGGATTAAATGAAAATGTGTCTGTGAGATTTGATGAATAGAAAAAGTTTTGATATTAAGGGATGAATGCCTCTGCTGCTGCTGCTGCACACATACACAAACACTATGCATGTGCTCCTGTCTAATTAGTCTCTTGGCGGTTGCTAATTAACCAGCGGAGCGGAATGCATGCATGCATGTGTTCCGCGAAGCTCGCTCATCATCGTTTGTGCTGAAGGATTTTCAGTTTTTTCGCTGGTCGGGGGATGATGAAGGCTTGGATAGAGAGAGAGAGAAATGAATTGAGAGAGATGGAAGGGATAGAAGGAAGAAGGGAGAAAAGGTAGAATGCAGGGAGGTTGGCAGGTAAATGAAATAAAACCGTTTCGGTGCATGCACAATCTGGAACAGTTGCGGAGAATTTGCATACTATATCCAGCTGTGTACCTGGGCCAATATCAAACACATGCATGCATCGAGTGTGTGAGAGAGAGATGAACAACAACAGGAAAAGGAAGAATGCAACAACAACAATATGTAAAAAAAATGTATGACTAGAGGATGGAGAGAAAAGGGTTTTTTTGTGATTAGAGCTCTCTCTAAGCCCGGGACACAGATGTCGACCGGAGATAGCGTTCGGGCTGTGACCGTGCTTCGGTTAAGGGTTTCAGGTCGGAGTCACAGTCTGAGGGTCGACGGTCCGTGGGTGAATTATATATGCGCAGCGCGAGTACATAATTTGGTTACACATTTGCATACGGCGGTTGCAGCGGCCCCCAGAATTCGTATGCTGCTGCTGTGGTCTGATGATGATGATGGTTGGTGGGTAGATAGAGCGATGGTAGGTAGGCTGATGTTGATGGGGTGAGTGGATCTCTGGGCTCCACCGGAAGAGATAGCCCAGGGGGTGCGGATTTGCTCGTAGCCATGACGCGATGTCAAGTTTGACGGGAACGCGCTCTCAAACGCGGCTAATGGCGCGTCTTTGTCGTCTGGCAGCGGCCCTTCGCGGTACTAGCATCCAGACGCGGATCGCAGCCTCCTCACCATAGCTGGACCGCTGCATCTCCACCTCTTCTTCTCGGGGCCCACGGGATACACTGATGGATGACTTCACATATTGATCAATACCTCAACCTACTCCTACACCCCAAAAACCCACCACCCCCATTGCCGCCGCCTCCACCTCTCTCCCTTCTCCCCCTGTGCTACTTACCACTACACCTCCCAATCCCTCCGTGCGCACACTTATGGCCCGAGGGTAGTTCGAAACACGCACGAACACACCCACGTTAATCACCTGCAATACACCACCAAACAACTCATATCCAAATTGAATTCTCAAGAATCCCAGTTTTGCATAGATTTTCCCATCCGCAAACTCCAAACAAAATATACACTTTAGTACAAATTACCAACATCTTTTAGTAGATATTTAATCATATAAATATTACCCAAAACATTGAAAAACTACATTTGTATACAGCTTATACGTAAATAATGCCAATATAATTAAATTAGGTCTAATCCAACACCAACATATTATCGGATTAACAACAGCAAAACTTAAGCGAGCTGTTCCATTATTCTTAGATAAGAGTATTCAAAACGTCAGTGTTTTTCAGATTTTTTCATTCTATTTTGTTTTTAGTCACATTCAGCAACTCTTTTAATTTCATTCCAATTCAATTAGATTTCACCTACAATCGAAAGTATTTTATATAAAAAGTTAATAAAAGTCGTATATCACGGAGTGATCAAACTCATACTATGCTGTATTTGTTTTCTTAAAAGTTGTATTCAGTTGTCTTTAGTTTTTTGAAATTTATTTTATTTCAGCTTACTTTAGATTTATGTATTTGAAATAAATTTTAAAAAAAATTGAAAGCAAACTTTAATTATAGAAAATTTAGAAAAAATTGATCAAAAAAACGAAACAAATGAAACTAATTTCAACAGCAGAATACGCAAGATATCTATTATATATGAATTAAAGGTTATAAAAATCCATTCACAAGATTAGATATGATCGTTGACAAAGAGAAGAATGTTTTACACTCAAAATTTGAAAATATTGTCAATTGAATAATGGTTTTTCATATGTATTTAAAAAAAAACTAAATTGGACACATAATCATAAATAGTAAAAAATAAGTGCATAAAAGTCTAAAAATTATGCTATAGATATCAACAGAACGCAAATTGTTATAAATAAAAAAAGCATAAAAAATGATAAAGTTTGAGAGGAAGTCAATCAATAATGGTTATATATGCAAATCAACAGGAAAATAAATATGTATGGTAAGTGTGGAAAGGAAAGCAACAGTGATCCACAAAGTTTGAAATTACCATTGTAAATGAAGTCAGCTGAGCGGGCGCTAAGTGAACGTACTCTAAAAAAAAAGTGATTTCCTTGTAGCGGCGCGTAGTTTCTTCTCTTCGTCTCTCCAACAGTAAATGAACGAAAGAATCGAAGAAAGAGTGAAAGGATGAGGGAAGATGCAGAGTGAGAAAGCGCTAAAACAAAGTTGGAATTTTAAACAGCAATTTAAAAGCTGCGCGAGCCAACTTCCTCGTTCCTTTCTCTTTTCACAACCTTCTTTTTTTCCCAGGCACACGCCGCGAAGAAAATAAAGAGCGTAAAGAACCCTGACCTAGCCCTACTACTTCACTCTTCTTTGCACGCAGACGTCGTCTCATTCATAATTAGCGCGAGTTTTTAAACGACGCCCGCCGACGCTGCTGCCGCCGCCGCCTTCGACGTCACTTTATTGTTCGTAAAACCTCAAGTCTTTCTCTCTCTCGCTCTTTTACACTCATTCATTCATTCAATCTCTCTCTCGCTTCAGTCTGAAGCTCGCGCTTCCTTTTTACACTCATTCAGTTTTCCATTCAGCTCGTGGCACGCGAAAAATCCCAATGCTGAATAATTCAACGGCATCTCCCTCATCCTCTTACTCCTCCACTCATTTACTTATTATCGCATCAACATTTTCATTTCCGGCCCTTTTAACTTTCTAATTAATTTTATTACCTTCCCGACGACTTTAACTCGCGCCAAACGATAATGGCACGTCGGGGGAGTGAGGAATGTATACAAATATTTCCATCCGTGTTTCTCTATTAAAATTTATTCTCTTTATCCTTTCGATTATTTTAACATCAACATTTGTATCATTTTTTAATTATCGATTCTGATACAATTAGTGCTTAAAATTTACAATTACCAAATTAATTGATGATGATTATACATATAAACATTTTGTTGTTCATTAAAACTATATTATCGATTTCAATTGTTCTAATTTTATATGTTATAAACTGTTAATAAAATTTGGTAAATTTTTCGAAAATTTTAAAGTTTCAAATTTACTACAAAAATTCTTAGTAAAATTAAATTATTTACTTAATTAAAATTATATAATATTTTGTAGTATGAATTAGCATTAGAATAAATTTAGATGATTTTATTTTTCCAAATTCTCTAGTTAAACGAAGTCTATATTTAATATTACGTGAAAACAATCTTATCTTGTAAAGTATGTTTTTAAGAGCAAAATTAAGTATCTGTCGTTGATTTCTCATCAAAAAATATATAAAGTTTTGTTGATTATATTAGATTTAAACTAGTAGTTTTCAACCTGTGGTCCACGGTAAGAAAAATGTAATTTTATAACATTATTTTAAAAAATATGTCTATCAACAGATCTATCAACAGATTTGCGAAATATTTTTCATATTTCTGACGGTCCGTAGTTGTATAAAGGTTGAAGAACGTTGATCTAGAATCTAGATTCTAGATTATTTAGATTTGTTGATTATGTTGCTCTTTTAGTATATGATTGATGAGTTAAACCACTACTTGACTGATACGTTTGTTGGAAAATCTGAAGAGGAAAAATACTCACTCGAAATTTATCAGATCGGGTGACGAGTGTTCAAGTTATTTCATTACTTCGTCCATCGAGTCATGATTGTATTAAGTATTCTGATTGCAATCGTGAAGTCATCGTTGAGTACTTCGACATTTTACATAAGTGATAAGTCAATATACAGCAATACCTCGCATAGTGCGGCTTCGATTAGTCCGGATTTATTATTGTACAGTTTGAAAATGTATACTAAATTATTTTTTTATTTATGAATGATAGTTTTTTTTAAAACTTTATATACAGACAAATCTCTTTTTGTGCTGTTTATATTCAAACAGTCCGGTGATATTGGCGGACACACACTATGCGAATTGTTACATTTTCCAGAAAATCAATACGTATTTACAAGATTTCTTTATTTAATAATTTTCTTAATTTTGGATATAGAAATGACTAATATTCAATTCTATAACAATCATTTCTATTAGTTTTATATAATCGTTTCATCTATGTATAACAATTTTAGTTTCGATATCGAAATTATCGATGTATATAATTTAATTCAATGGTTCATTTGAAATTGTGTATCGGAAATAGTTGATTATTTTTGAGATTATTTCCATTCTAATCATTAAGTAAACATTGCAATGTACATAATTATATAATTAATAATATTTCTAATTATAGGTATTGTTTTGATGAATCACTGATTATTACAAAAAAAAATTATCAAGTATTCCAATTTGTTGTATCTCGATATTATATAATATTTTTTAGAAAAATGAATCAATTTATTCTTTGTAAAACGATTCGAATGATTTAAAATGAATTTGTTCAGATTATTTTAATGTATTGTTTATGTAAAAATAGTTTATTTTTTATAGAATAATTAGATTCCACGTTATGGACATAATCAAGTAATTAACAGATTCTCTTATATAAAATTTGTGAGCAATTGCTATAATCTAGTTTTGTTTAGTATATTTGTAGTTTTCTTTTGAGAATTTTGAATGTGCGTTAAAAGTGTTTCCATTGATGTTAAATTAGCAAGTAATTTGTATTAAATCGTAGTTGGAGGTAAATAATAATGAAGTGTGCTCACTGAAGTTTGTGCTTAAATGAAGCATGGGCAAATATTGTGGGTAAACAGGGTACGTCCCCGGGGCGGGTCGGGTCAACTTTGATGGTAGTAATGGTCAGTCCGTAACGTGATTTATGACTGACCATCATCGTCGTCGCACATGCCGCCCCATCATAATTAGCCCTACTCGATGGACTCGTGCTGGGCCGGACTGTGGTCACTCACTCCCAAAAGTGAGGAGGAGAAAAAAAAAACTCGTTTGACACGCGGATCTACATGTGTACTCACTCGTGTTAATTGACCTTTTGCACCCAAAAAGTAACTCCGCACACGACACGACACGGCGTTCTCCGTTTTGATGTATTCATTTTTCATTGACCAACAATAACCAGAACCGGTCACATCATTTCTTCGACCACTGTATTAAATATAAATAGAAGAGAAGGAACTGTCCTCAGTTCAGAGTTTAACTCGAATGAGAACACCTCTGAGAAGAAGGATACTCCACCACCCCTTTTTTCTTTTTGCCACCTTTACAATCATCTCAACCCTTCCTCTAACTCAGATTCAAAGAAACCCTATTCAATGTTTGCATCCTTAAAATAACTCAAATCAATTTAACAACTATTTATTCAATATTTTTTACATTCAAATTAGAATTAAAATTTTTCTTTAACAATAATTAAAAGAAAAGCTTACTAGGTTTGTTTGTATTACAAAAATAACATGTGTTAATTTACCAAATATGCCTTCAATTAGAATTAACATATCTTTTGTCAATAACTTAAAGAAAAGCTTACAAAGTTTGTTTGTATTACAAATATAACTGCTTTCAATTAACCAACAATTACAACAATTTTTATATGAAAATTAGAATAAACACTTCCTTTGTTAATAATTAAAAGAAAAGCTTTCAAAGATTCAACATTTTTTACATTCAAATTAGAATTATTTTTTTTCTTTAAGAATAATGCAAAGAAAAACTTACTAAGTTTGTTTGTATTGCAAATAATAACTGTTTACAATAACTGCTTTCAAATATGAAAATTAGAATTAACACTTTCTTTGGCAATAATTAAAAGAAAAGCTTACTAAGATTGTGGGTACTACAAAAAAAGCACTTCTTTTGAAAATAATTTAAAGAAAAGATACAAAATAACAATTTCTTCAACGATTTTCATGTGTCAAATATTAATTTATTTGTTTTTGTTTCAGGAATTCACATGGATGGACAATTAACACGTAATGATAATTTTAAGAAAATATTTAAGTTATTGGTGATTCTATAATCATTTCTAATGCAACTCATAATATACAAACAAAACAAAGAAAGCAATAATTAAATCTTTATTTAAAATCAAATAAACATGATAAAATGATAACTTGTGCCAAATTGTTTTCACGTTGCAATGTTTTGTCATATTCTACGAATACTTGAATAATATTTATGAGTCATTGAAAAAATATTTTTATCTAAAGAATCTCAAGTTTTAAACATTTAAACATTCCGTTTTTTTAATATTCCAAAAGTAATTGAAATTACACAAATATTGAAAATATTACGTATAAAAAATATCTAAAGTTGAAATGAATTGAATTTAATATAACTAGAATCATCGACGACTTCATTTATTCGCTTACGTATTTAATTTAACTTATTTTTTGAGATTGTACATTTTTTATTTTCTGTTATGTAACTTTAAAAGTTTATAGATTAATATGAATATGTATTTATATATATCTTATTTAATTTATTGTATTATGAACTTATGATAACATTGTATTATTTAGATTGATTTCAATGAACCAATTTTAGCTCGATATTAAAATTCTATAGCTTAGTTTACGGCCTTAACCATGTGATACCTGATTATCTTTCTATCGGGAGGCTTTTATTTCACTTGTGGTTTATATAACAGCATATTTTTAGGTTGACTGTTGCCATGGTTAAGTAAACTTATGTGTAATCTCCATGGTGATGATATGTTTAAGTGCTTTGAGTATAATGAAGATAATAAAGAGTTAACAATAACATATTTTTGTTTATTTTTTTATTTGCAATTAGTTCCTTTGAGTTTCACAGGAAAAATTTAAACAAGTGTGCATGCATTTCGTTTCGACAATACATCGGATAGTGCGAGTTCCCGCACTGTTTGAAACCGTATTAGGATTTTAATAAACCACATAAAAATAATCTGCACAAAAAGAGACTAAAGAAAAAAAAAAGATCTTTAACAATTGTGTGTATTATTTTTCAAGTGTTTGTTTTTATTTTCCTTAATTAAAATTTAGTTACTTTTGAAATTATCAAACCAGACCATAGTGAAACCAGATTGATCGAAGCTATTGCTGTATTTTTATATAACCGCATATTTATTTGGAGTAAATGTATGTAATTTTCACGGTGATTGAAGTGATTAAATTCTAATGATGTTGATTGAAGATAATAAATTGTAGTAAAGTCTTACGTGCGGTTGTTTAATTTGTTTATAATAAATCGGATTGGTCGAGGCATCTTTTTGTGTAACCGCATATTTATTTGGCGAATACTGTTGCTATGTTTACGTAAATTTATATGATTTATTTAAGTGTTTAGACTTCAAATGACGTTGAATGAAGAGAAACAACAGAAATAATATTTTTCTTCTTTCATTTTATTTGCAGAGCGTTTGAGAGGAGAAATGAAAGTAAGTATGCTTGCGTTTCGTTTTTTTTATCGTTGAATAATAAATCGCATCGGCCGAGTGCAATCGTGGAAAAGGCGAAGGGTGGTGAACGTGTGACATTTAGATGCGTGCAGATGTCGAAGGCATTTCCGATATCTGCATGTGGGTCTTTCGGGGGGTCGCTGGTAAGGGATGGATGTGTTTGCGAGTTATTTATGGTCCGGAGAGATGCTGCTGCTGCTACTAATCTGGTGCGGGCATCTTCCGCGATGGCGCGGATGAATCATCATCTCCCGGGATCCCGGGGATCCTTCCTCATCCTGGATCCATCTCCATGGACGTGGATGGATCTCCGTTTTGTCTCTTTCGCCGCTGGCGTAGGGGTAGATAAAAGCGCGTGGCTCCACCCTCGATGTACCAAACTCTACCATCTCCATCTCACTTGCACTCACATGTTCGCATCTCTCCGTCCTCGTCGTTTCTGTGCACCCTCCATCAGTGCGATGATATGGTCAACAAATTTTGGCGGAGCGATGAGGGAGGGTGGATTGGAATGGCCAAATCTCTCGTTCTCTCCCTCGTTGTCCCTCGAGCTATGATGCTATGACACATAGAAGCGGGAATATAAAATGGACGGTAACGAAGGCACTCTTGATACCAGAGGGCCCCCAAAAACTTCATTACCGACGAAGAAACACAACCATTTCGGTGCGTTTCTTTGTTAGCTGTATTATCTTCACTTCTGCGAACCGTACATTCTTCAAACCCCCTTTCGTTCCCCATATACATTACTCCGCTAATGGGACAGTTTTATTGCGCCGGTTTGTTTACGCCACAAAACAAGACTTATCGTCGTCCAGGAACGCAAACAATAATGTACGAATTATATAATAATTCATGACGTACATTTTATAGAATACAAATTACAAAATAAATTTCCAATTATTTACAAAATGATAACATAATTTCAAGAATTTATTGATAAATATTTAAAAAATCTTAACTTATTGAAATTACAAAATAATATATTTGAAACGTATGATATATCACAATTCAATCATTCATACATTATAAATTTAAATGAAATACAGATTCAGTTATTTAACTTATTAAGTTTTATTTTTCGTTTTCAAACAACAGTGAAGAAATTACAGAACCTTTCATCACGTAACTTCAGAAACTACGTTAGTTTTAGTTGCATACATTTATATACAAATAATAATGAAATCATAATTATTATTTTAATTTATTAATTAGAATGTATAAAATAAATTCCAGCAAAAGTAAAAAAAATCTAATTCATAAAAATAATATAAATTGACAAATATACCTTGAAAAAAATATATAAATAAGTAAACAATCAAATATAAATTATTAATTAAAAATACAATTCTATACAAATTAAAAAAGGAAGGACTAATATCAAATATAATATTTATATAATATATTTGCTGTTTGTTTGGGACCAAAATAAAGAAACATTTTGCAAATCCTGTTAAAAAATTGATTTTAATTTAATTAATGAAAAGAACAAACTTGATTAGTTCTTTCGACTGAAGTTTTTATTAATAAATTCTGTGAAAAAATATTATATTCATAAGCCTTTCATTTGACTTATCACTTATATTTTTTTGAACTTTTATATATTTTGTTCTTTTTATTTCTGTACATGTTTTTTTTTGTACGACTGATGAAATAAACATTGTCATTATTATTATTTAGTATTATATTCAACAATAAAAAAAATAATCTACAAATTATACATTAGTAATTGAATAGATAAAAAAAAATAGTTTTAATTTTTAGTATTATCTATTCATATTACACAACAAATCCAATTAATCAACAAATAATGTATAATACACTAAATACATTTTCTTATTATAAAATTGATTAAATTATTAATTAATAAAGTATATTTGAATATTAAAAATATAAATATGAAATTCTCTGAAATTAGTGCACATAATTATTTTTAATATACATAAAAGATAGTTTTGCTTACTTTTATACAGTCAAGTCTAATTATGTAAATATTTAGTCCTGTTTTAAACATTTTTGGCTTTTGGCGAAAACGAATATGTGCACTGTGCGAGTAAAATATAAATGTTAATTTAGAATTTACTTTTGTATTGTTGCATCCACACTACTCGTGATTTAAATGAATACCAACTGCTACATATGGCGCAGATAAGCGGTTGTTATTATTGCAGATGAACAGAAAACTGAAATATATTAATACCAACATAAATAAATTAATGTTATTCTTCACTACATTAATATTGTTATAAATTATTTCAGAAAATTATGTCATAGAAAACAATTTACATAATCATACACATACATTTATATAATTATACAGTGGAAAACTTTTAAATATTTCATATTTGTATAGATTTTTTCTGGAAGAGTATGGATGGGAATCAAAAGGTTTTTTTTTCGGGAAGAAAACGATCGTCTCTATTAGGGTTTTTTCTTTGTCGTGTAAGTGGCGGCATCGGGAGGACTTAATTTGTTTCTCCGTTTTCATTTTCGTTCTCCCTTTCCTCCGATTTTCGAACACTCCTCGTCTTCGACGTCCTTTCTCCTTCCTTTTTGCAGCAGGAGAGGGAAATTTGGCAATAATTTATTGGATTGGGTCGGAAAACGGCGGCGATGCGTGCGTGTGCGAAATGTATTAAAGTGGAGGAGCGAGGCGAGAGCAAAACTCTCTATGTATGTAGTACGTATGCGTGTATGTGTGTTGGAAAGAGACAGAGATGAAGAATTGTGTAAGTATGAGAGTGTGTGTGAGAGAGAGAGGGATAGTGAAAGACCCTTTTCTTCTTTATCCTGTCGCACGACATAAATTTTCCAATTTCAAGTCGCCCTTCGTCCCTTCCTCGGCGAACCACCGCCTGGGCCACCCCCGCACCACCTCCGCTAGCACCTCATCCCTCGCGCGCGCCACACGTTGTCGTCCTTCTTCTGCACCACCACCACCAACCCCCGCTTCCTCCCTCATCCACCTCTGCTGCTAACCGATTGTGGGGGACCCTCCGAACAGCCGCCTCCTCCTTCTCTTCTGCCGCCGCCGTGAATCTCTAGTTTATTTTGGAGGGTTTGCAAACTACTTCGAAACTAAATTAAGCCTTGGAGAAGGCATCTGTGACCACACCCTGGATGTTGCCGGAGCGAACATTTGCATGTGACGTATTTTATTGCTGCCATCAAGATAAACTCGAGCTCGTTTAGAATGTGATGGAGCAATGAGTTTTCCAGTTTACAATACACAACGTTCGATTCCTTCTCCGACAGCCACCCCCAACCCAACCTCTACCATTTCCACCCATCCTCCTTCCGTTTCTAACCCTCCTCCGACCACCAGCGACATTTTGATTTCGTCCTTCAGAAAAAAAGGCAAAAAAAAAGGAGAAGAAAACCCACCGAAATACTCACGCACTTTCTTTTTTAACGCGTTTCCCTTTCCATCTACTTAGTTGCGAACCTGGGGAAACCTGCAATTCCGTCAAAAGTTACCCGCTTTTATTACCATATTTAAGGCATCGTTAACGCTGATTAACGTTTTATTAAGGATAATGATTTAATTCTCTTCCTCCTCTACGTTCGACATTTAAACGCACCGTTTAATTATATCAAAGATTCCAAATTCACTCTAATATGTATTTAATTTTTAATAGTTTCTTAAATCCACTTTGCTTCCTTAATACTTTATTTCAATTAAGAAATAATTACATTAATTAATTAACAAGAATTGCTTTAATTTTTCATA